GTCTTGTTCCACGTATAAGAAAGAGTTGTCAATAGAAATTATATGAAACCTGTCGCAAGCAATATCTACTGTTGTTGAAGACCTTCTCCAAACTCACCTACGTTTCCATAAGAAACAGCAGTTGTATATTCGTAAGTTCCAGGAACTATTTCTGACCTTCTAATGGCATTGTCGCATTCGTTATACCTCGGAAACATTTCCATTCATGGCATCCAAAACTGTTGGCGTTATATTCTGAGCGGCGTAATTTCATATGGGTAAAAATATAGAATAGTTGGATTTATATGTCATAATTAGAACCCACGTGGACCAAGCTTTACTTTCTTCCTGACTGAGTTTTTAACTCTTCTTTTTCCTTCATTGCCACTACTTTCACTAGATGAAGTTACTTTTCACTACTTTCACTTTGTTCTACTCTTCTCTTCTTCTTTGGTGTCGCTTTTGGTAACTTGCCCTCTGCTTCAAGTTGTTGCATCTTTGCCTATGTTCAAGTATAGTATGTTGTAAATTTCCCATGTCTTTTTGCCTTTGGGCTCTGGTCGCCATCTCAGGTAACCTATATCTAGAAAGATTTTGTCATAGTTTGTATTTGAGTCTTGGCGTATTGTTTGCATGACTCTTTCCTGAGTTTCCGGTTCAAGCTCTTCAAACAGTGCTTGTCCATATGGAATAAGCTCGTTTCCAAATATATGTTTTTGTAGCCATTCTGGTTTTTCTTTCCATGTTACAACAATCTTTTGTGAATGGGAAAGCTTTTACCCAACGTTTCAGGCTTGGGTCATTTATTTCTGTAGTTGGTTTTATTTTGTCAAGGAACATGTTTTTCAATACTAACATTTCATTTGGTACTGTCCATTGAGTTTTCTTAAATATTCGTCCTTCTCAGTTCATTGTCTGCAAAGTAAGTTTTTATGACATTTTGTAACTTTCGTTTGCAAGGTCATGTACAAAGGTTCTCTTCCTTCTCTCTCCCTAACTTTCTTTCTAAACTCTTCACCAAATATACCATCTCTATGGTTCTGTGTAGTTCTTTGAGATAAATGTTTTAGAACGTCAGGTTTATATTTCCATCAGCCATGTTCATTTCATACTGGTCCAAAATATCTGCATCTTTCATATCTTTCAATGGCATTAAAGCCGCGCTGAAAATACCAGCTATATCTGGTTCACCATTGACTTCCATTGCGTCTACAACTTCTTGGAATTGTGGTTGTAAGTTTATGAACCACCTATCCGGGTTAGCTTTATGACCCCATCTCATTGTAGTTCCATAGTCTGCAGAAACAAAAGTAGGTTTGTTTCCATCCTTGAATGACTTTAAACAAAGTTTCATTTCTATATGTTTTGTTGAAATTAACCTTTTATTTTCACCGAGTTCATCCGAAGATTGAACGTTAAATGCTCGTAAGTAAAAAGGGTTGTTGTATTTGTGTACATTTTCTTTCAGTACTTCCATTCTATGCTGAATATTTTCATCTGGTGTTGGAGTCTTTTGTATGTCGGCAAACATTTTTCGATATTCTTCTACTATGTCAGCCGAATTTTTTTTAGACTCTTGGAAAGATTCCATATTCTCCGCATACTCTTGTTGAGGGTCAAGATTTTTCGGCTGTTCCAAATCTTCATCTAGTTCTGTGAAGTTAGTTTCCAAAGGAGGGACTTGTTCGTTTCCTTCAGGCTCTTCTAGCTGTTGTTGCTGAACTATTTCTTCCATGTCTGGTTGTATCTGAACTTCTTCCTGTGGAGTTTCTTGTACCTCATCTGCTGGCATTTCATATATTCCGAGACCGTTTTTAACAAGTTCCCTTTCTAAGTCATCCGGACTCATAAACCTTTCTTCTTTCGTTCCGTCTCTATTTTTTACGCGTTTCATGAAGAGAGTTAAATTGTCATTTAGCTCTGACATCAAATATCTCGGAGTAAATTCGTTCATGTCATTTGGATGATATGCTATTAAATCATATCCCTTAGCGAGCTTGTATTTTCCAGGTTTGAGATTATATCCCCTTTGGTGCAGAGCCATAAAGCTAAATAGGTTCGGGTCAGTATTTCCTTCCTTGAACTTTCTAATAGCTTCTTTATATCTGTCACTAAAGTCAATACTATCTGGGTAACCATAGTCTTCCTTTAGCATTTTTAAGAATTCTTGGTTTCCTTGTTCTGTTTGTGGTTGTTGTTGTGCTGGATTTTGAACTGTTGGTTGTTGTGCTGGTTGTGGTTGTTGTTGTGGAGGTGGTTGCTGTGCTGGATTTTGAACTGTTGGTTGTTGTGTTGGTTTTGGTGCATGCCTGTGTCTGTGTCCATGTGACGATGTAAATGTTTTAGGTAGTCCTGGTGCAGGTGCTTCTCTTGGAGGGTTTGGTGGTATATAAGTTCCACCAGCTGGCACATATGTTCCATCTGCAGCATAGTGTCCTACCTGACTTTTCGTTCTTAAGAAAGCATTTACTAGGTCTGTTTTGGTCTGTTGTAACTCTTTTTCTTGACTTTCCACAACAGTTGCTCTAACGGCGTCATAGGCACTTTGAACTGCCTGTCTCGTTGCTGCATCTGTTATTTTCGTCATATTTTGTGCTACTTCTTTTAACTCTTTGTCGAAACCTTCAGACTTCAGTTTCTTTCCAGATGAGAAGTCGTTCACTAGTTTCACCTTACTATGAAGAGCTTCGAAGGCGTTCTTAAAGTCAGCATTCATTAAAGCTTCATTTGAACTGTCTTCATCCGCTTGTATTTTTGTCCTTATTGACCCTATAAGCTGGGCTGCTTTAAGCGTTGGCTTGGGCATCTAACCAGTCATTGTTAGCTTTTATATATTCTGCGCTTTTCATTGCCTTTTGCATAGCCGCGTCGTCATTTTTACTTTCTTGTGCTAAGTTTTCATACTGTACGGTTTGGTTTTGCAACTGTAAAAGTTTTTCTGCCTTTACATTTGCTTCAACTTCTTTTTATACTCATCGCTATCCATATATGTCTTCAGGGCTTTTTGTTTTATCTCTTCATCTTTCAGTACTTTATATTGAGTAGTATGGTTTTTCAAATTTATGACATCTTGTTCCATTTTTGCTACTTCTGCTGCTTTTTCTGACACTTTTTTTGCATATTCTCTGTACTTAGTTCTTTCAGTTGTTCTTCTTTCTTCTTTTTCTCTACGTTTAACTCATTGAGTTTCTTTTGTGTCTGTCATATTCTAGTTTCTTTTCGTTTTCACTTATTTGCTTCTGTATGTCTATGTTTGACTTTTTGACATCTGCTATTTGATTTTTGAGTGAACTCAAATTCATTTGACTTTGAGGGTTATAGGCTGTTCCGTCTGCAGCTCACACCATAGCCTGCCATTTTCGCTAAAAGTGCCGCTCTTAAACCTCCACTCTGTGCACCAAAAACTCGGTTTAAGAGCATAGGGTTGCTTGACATTTGTTGCAACATAGTGGGGTCATTCAGCATTTGTTGTTGCAACTGTTGTTGTGGTGTTAGTCTTACTATTGGATGTTTCAATGCTCTCTTCCTCTTACGTATATTCTTACGTAGCTTACGTGGCATTTTAAGTGAAGTAAAAAAGAGGCTTTTGACAGATGTTTATATGACACTTTCTCCGGTTTATAGGACCTCTCTCATATTCTATCTTATCGTAAATAAAACTCACAGTCATGTATATCCTCTAACCATCTCATAACGGTTTCCAAACCACTTTTATCGGATGTAAAGTAAAAACATGGATGGTTATGTAAAACGTCTAAAGTTTCTAAAGAGTCTCTCAAAGTATACTTCTTTGAACGCCCGTAACTTTACTATAGCGACGATAGACTCTTACTTGTCCGGACATAGTTATACTATTTTGAGTCCTCTACCGAAAAAGTCAACAGCAACGACTTTCAAAAATTTTTAGGGCTAGAAGGCACGAAGTGCCTGGGAAGCCCCCTTCACCCAAAAAAAACCTCATTTTATACTTCATTGTATACTAAACATCTTCAGGGGCTAGAGGGCACGAAGTGCCTGGAGGCCCCACTACCCTTTTTTTTTTTTTTTTTTTTTTTAATATTTGCTATTTGTCAATCTGTATGGTAATTTCACTACTTTAAATAATAGAATGGATCAATGAAAATCGGAATAGGTAATTCCCCAAAATTGGGGATTACTGATATTACTTTATGCTTTATAATTTTATTATTTAGCATTACAAATCACTTATGGTGCATAGATTATCCGCCAAGGAGTACTTTTGACGAAGTTCACTTTGGAAATTTCACAAATTGGTATACACAATCACAGTTTTTCTTCGATATTCACCCACCATTAGCAAAATTAATCATGTTTTATTTTGCAAATTTATCAGAATACCAAGGAGATATAGATTTTGTTTATCGAAACAATTCGCAATACACAAATCCTGCCTACATTCAGTTAAGAATTACTCCTTCAATCATATCAAGTCTATGTCCTGTTCTGATTTACTTGTCAATGCGAATTTTATCATTTTCAATCTTATCTTCCTTAACAAGCTCAATGCTAACACTTTTTGACACATCTCTATTAATAGAAGGAAGATATATACTAACTGATGGAATTTTGCACTTTTTTGTATGCTGTCATTTATTAATTTTATTTTACACATCATCACTCAGTGTTGAAGACAAAAAATTTCTTCTGTGGCACACCCTTACAGGATTATCATTAGGTGGAGCCTGTTCATGCAAAAATACTGCATGGGGAATATGTTTAATTGATGCTTACGTTTATATGCTAGTTTTTAGAAATTACATCTCAATTTCGTTTTACTCTTATGTGAAAAAATTGATTCAGTATGGAATTTCATTATTTTTGATTGCTTTTTCAGTTTATGAAATTTCATTTTCGATTCACTTTATTTTACTACTTTATGCTGGTCCAGGTTATAAATACATGACACAAGAGCTAATGGATCAGCTGATTTTAAACAATTATGTCGATTATAATTTTGACATAATCAGAATATCGAATCCTTCTTTTGATTTTCGAAAATCATGCACCAAGATAATATGAAGATTACTGGCTCACACATGTCTGCTAGTACGCCATCTCAATGGCCATTTTTGACTGGTGTTGATGTTCGCTTCTTTATGGAAGGTGAAGAACTAATATTATGCCAGGGAAATGTATTTTCATATTATTTCGGATTGATCGGACTTGTAATGTGCTTGATTTTGTACAAATCTAGAAATTATTTGACAAATATGATTTGGGTTGTTGGATGGTGCTTCTCATGCTTTCCATTTTATTTGATACCACGAGTAATGTTCCTTTATCATTACTTAATACCAATGATGCTTGGTTGTTGTGCATTTGGAGCATCATTAGAGCTGTTTCCTCCAAAAATAAAAGGTATTACTGCTTCTTGTGCAATTATCCTCACCGCGTTTGGATTTTGGCTTTGGGTTCCTTTAGTCACAGGAAAGTATAGAAGAGATAATGAATTAATGTTTTGGAACCCAAAGCGGCTGAATGTGACTAGTAACAGCTCAAATTCATCACTTAGTTAGATTAATTTTTATTTTTTATAATTTTTGTTTGTATAGTAATAAACTTTCTGTCGAAAAGCTTTAAAATGCATGAAAGATATATACAACTTTGCATTTTTAAGTTATGATTCAGAATTGAAATTTTAATTTAAATAATTTCATTTTCCAACGTTAAGTCTCCAGACTCTATTCATTCCTTCAATACCGAGTAAACTCCTTTCAAAAAACTTGAAAAAGGGCTTTATGAAGGAAAATGAGCTTAAAATTCTTTATTTATACTCATAATTCAAAGGAAATAAACTATTTTATGAGTACAACTAGGCAGAAAATATCTCGGGTTTTCACGAGATTGCGTAATTAGCTAAAATCTAAATAAAATTTATATAAAAACCTTTTAACTTAAAATGTTATATCTAAATATTGCTCTGAATCTTCTTACTGATTTGATCAGCAAGTTCAAAGAATTTCTTGAAGTCTCCTGAATCTTCCATTTCATCGATTTCATCAAGTGCTTCATCGATTTGATGCTGAATTTGCATATATAAATCTCTATTGGTGCTCTTCAACTTCTTGCTTTCATCGTATAATTGAGTTAATTTTTCTTCAGCCTTCTTCTTTCCAGTTTCATTTGCAGCCTTATGCCTTCTAATAATCTCCTGAACCTTTGCATCATCGAGCTTGCCATCGTAGTGGAAGTCGATTGTCTGGGCGTAACCTGTTTCAGGATCATTAGCTTCGACAACGAGCATACCTTCATTGTTAATAGCGATAGTAAGAAGAACGTTTGTAGATTGCTTTGGAATGTTCTTGAAAGTGACATCTCTGAGGAATATGTTTTCTGAGCACTTGGAGCTTTCGCCTTGGTATACTTGAATGGTAAGAGTATTATTCTCTTTGACCTTGAAGGCAATTTGTGTTTTCTGTGGGATTGGCTTGTTGGAGATGATATACTTCTGGAATCTATCGTTTGCTGTCTTGATACCAATGGTAATTGGCTGGACATCAACGACAGCGATTGTTCCTGGAGCGAACATTGGTGGTGAAACAGTTCTTTGACGGACATAATCCTTGACATCTTCGCAGTCTCTGAGCTGACCATTCATGAATTTCTGGCAAATTGTGGCTGCACCAGCAGATACAGCCTTCAATGGATTTAAGGCGGACTTGATCTTTTCTGGGAAGATTTCTTCAAGTTTATCCTTAACAGCTGGGATCATGCTGGAACCACCGACAAGCAAGACACCATCGATGTTGGCTGGTTTGAGACTAGCTGCTTTGAGGGCAGAATGAATTGGAGTTGGAATTTGGTCAAGAATTAGCTCAATCAAGCTGTTGAGCTTACTAACTCTAAGCTTGACACTAAGATCTTCTCCATTGTAAAAGTTTGGAACGGTAATCTGTGAGTTATCCATTGAGCTAAGTGCTATCTTTGTTTCTTCTGCTGTTTTAAGAAGAAGTGCCATGTTTTTCTTGTTGTTTGGATCCTTTGGATTAAAGTCAGACTGCTTCTTCTTGAATTGTTCAATGCAATAGTCAGCGATGATTTTATCTATATCTGCGCCACCTAAGTTTGAGTTACCAGCAACAGCCTTGACATTGAATACCTGGCCATCAATGTAAACGATGGAAACATCGAGTGTACCAGCACCAAAGTCGAAAACTAACAAATGGATTTTATCCTTTGGTTCGATGTTGTAGTAGGCGATGGCGGCAGCTGTTGGTTCGCTGAGGAACTTGCGGACATTTAAGTTGGCGATTCTTGCAGCTGTTTTGGTAGCGTTTCTTTGGGCGTCGTTGAAGTTAGCTGGAACTGTAATGACGCAGTCTGTAGCTTCTTTGCCTGTAGCGCTCTTGTATGTTTCCTTTACATGTTCTAACAAGAAACTGGAAATTTCTTCTGGCATGTATTTCTTGCCGTCAACTACGATTAATGGATTATCATCTTCGTCAGGTTGAATTTCGAAACCAACATTCTCGAAAAGTTCCTGAACTGGACGATCGTGATACTTATGACCGATCAAACGTTTAGCTCCGAAAATTACTCTTGAAGGATTGTTGGCAATCTGATCTTTAACGGCAGCTCCACATGCTACTGAGCCTCCTTCTTGAATCATTACGTAGGAAGGGAGAGTTTCTTTTCCTTGGAAATTAAGAGGTACAATAGAATTCTTTTCTGTGCGAGTGTCTGCAATGTGGTGGACGACTATGGAAGATGTGCCAAGATCAATGCCAAGCATGGTACTGGGTTTGGAGTTGGTCATTTTTTTTTTGAACTGGTTTTTTTTATAGTCAGAAATCTCAAAAAGTTGTAGTTTTTAGAACTATTCATCAAACATATCAAAGAGCCGAAATTTAAATTAAAAAAGCTAACGATTTTTTTTTCGCAATTGAAAAACTGCTGGCATATTTTCTTAGGTGATAGGGTGAACCTATTATTTAAAATATTGAATCAATTAACTTAAAAGTATCCATAATTATTATCTAAATGAGTAGAAATAGGCATAAAATTTCGAAAAAAAATAGTCGTAAAATAATCATTGGAAATAGGGGAAAAAGCAGAAATTCTTAGTAAAAGATTTATTCCATTGCAATCCAATTTATAAAAGAAATACGGGTGCTTTATAAAACTAAATTTTATTGCAAATTTTCAAATTTCACAATATTTGTTTGAAAATGCTCAAATAAACTATAAATAATTCTTTTGGAATCAACATTATTATTTGGTATAATAACAATTAAAAAATGAGGTACTTAATTTAATTTTAGTGAAAAGTTAGAGAATGATCAAATATGATTCAAAAAATCACTTAAATATATTAAGGGAAGAAGAGATAATCTCAAAAACATTAATACTGATTATTGAGATTATTCACCAATGAATTGAATGGCCAATGTGAGAATAATATTAAGCTAAATTATTAAAAAGAGAATGAGCTAAATTATCATTCACCTGTAATTTGAATTTACCTTTAAGAATCCATATTGTAATATCAATCCCAACATATACTGATAAAAAGTATGAAATATAAATAACAAAATCCATAATTTCTTTACAAATAAATAGAGTTATAAAAATTTGTGAAAAAAAAAACAGTTAAAGATTATGTCTAAATGAAGGTATCTTACGTCTTGCATTAATAAGAGGGGGAGGATTGCAAGTAATTGTTAATGAACGTCTTCTTGCCGGGGCGCACTTATCAAGCTTGCCTAAACGAGGCAAAGGATCCAATTTCGCGATTGAGTTATGCCTCATTGGTTTTAATATTTGAGCATTTCTAATTTGATGGATAGAATACATAAGCAATTCTCTCTTTATGATTGATAATGCAACTGTTCCTTGGTTGACAATATTAGATTGAGCATCATTCATGACTCGTTCTTTAATGATTTCTTCATCGTATTCGAATTTGGAAATAACTTCTGTCATCTCTTGGATCTGATGGTGAACCCAGTCGTGATTCATGATTTCATTGATTGTGATTCTTTCTTCTGGCTTCTTTGTAAGAATTCTCTTTAATAGATCAGTGCACATAGGACTTAAGGTACTTGGATATTGAGGCTCTGTATAAACTATTTTTTGTGCTAAACGAGAAATGTTTTCATCGTAGAAAGGTAATTTCCCACAAACCATCGCAAAAAGTACGCAGCCACAAGACCAAATATCAGATGAGAATGTATATTGTTGACCAAGTATCATTTCTGGCGAAGCATATGCTGGAGATCCGCATTGGGTGTTCATAAGATTTTCAGGACTGATGTTAGAAAGACCGAAATCAATAACACATATATTGTAATTAGTGTCCATTAAAATGTTTTCAGCTTTGATATCACGATGACATACATTGCAGTCGTCTTGAAGATATTTAAGGACTAAGATCATTTGAGCGAAAATATTAGCAGCTTCTTGCTCTTTTAATTGACAACGCTCATTGATGTAAGTAAGAAGAGTACCATTTTGCACAAATTCCATAACAACAAAGTAATAATGTTCATTTTCGATGATTTCGAAAAGCTGAGCGATAAAGGGATGACTTACCATCCTTAAGATTTATAGTTCTCGTTGAATACTAAGCTGATAATTAGCCTCTGCTTCAGCAGATTCTTTTGGAATAACTTTGATTGCAACTCTGGAGCCAGTCTTTTTATGTATTGCCAAATAAACTTGAGCGAAGGATCAGCCTCCAACATTTGATTGAATAACATAATCTTCTAGAACAAAGGCGCACATAACAGAAAAGAAAATGCTTTGAAAATGTTGAGAATAATTCAATTTGATTATAAAAACCGGCATTAACAATACAAATCGTTAGGACGAATTGGCACAGTGGTCAAATGTATAGCTAAAAGGAATACATTTAAAGTTTGAATTTACACTGAATTTTGAAAGTATTTTTTGGTTATAAGAAATTAAATAAAGGATGCAATGATGCAAGAGAATACATATTTAAAAGTTTTAATTGAAATATGCTTACATTTGAAAATAATTGTGAATATAAAACAATGTGATAAAGTAATAACTAATACTTTTTTCTAAATGTTTCACTTATATTATTTTCAACTTTATATATTTTATTTTTTGAGATATAATTCAAAAGCTAATTGGAAATTATTTTCAAATTAATATTAGAATTTTTAAATGTAGATCCCAAATATCTTTTATTAAAAATTGAAAAGAAAATTTAAGAAATGAAAATAAATATTGCTTTATTCAATCTGATGTATTATTAACAAGGAAAAGACAATAAAAATTGAATTATTTGAATTATTTGAATTATTTTGAATAAATTTCATATCCTCATTATATCGAAATATTTTTACTTGTTTTTGTTAATTACGTAACATACCCCCTCAATATTTAACTTTTCTCAAAAAATTGTTTCAAATTCTTTTCCCTCGATATTCTATTGTAAAACACAATATTCCGAAGTTATTACTGATATTTAAAAATCAACTCTCATCACACTTTTCAATGCTCGATTTTTAAAAACTGTTTAAAAATGGAGCTTATATTGAAATAGTGTAGAGACTAAAAATTACCACAGACTATTTCAGAGGATTGAGTTGCCACTCAATCCTCTCAAAAGTCTGAGGTAATTTGCAAAATTCAATTTTTCCAAATAAATTTGAACAATCATTTCTACTGTATACACATATCTCATAAATATTCTCAATTTTTTCCCTTGCTGATACTTTTCAATTTAATTTCAGAAGAGGAAACAAAATTGTTTTGCTTTATTCCTATTGGTCGCACTTTCTCACAAGATTTTACAATTTTTAAATTACTTATCTAAAAAATTTCTATTGTCTCATTAATGACTTAATTTCACTCATATCGTATTTCAAATTTCATAATTTATTTTCACTATCTTCTAATAATCTTCAAAACATTATATATATCCACTATGGGTTACAAACACATTACTCAAAATGACTGCTTTCTTCAATCAAATTTCAAAATTAATTTCAAACATCAAATTGCTGTGAATTACTATAAAAATGTTATAGTTATAAAGTATTTGAACGATCAATGAAATTATTGTTATATGAAATAATCAAATGCAGATCGATAACATTTTTTTTTTCAAAAATAGCTTGCATACCTTTGAATTTTATTTCTAATAATCAAGCACTTATTATTAAACTGTGTGGCAAGCTTATTTAATAAATTATTGATAAAATATTAAAAATTAAAGACATGAATAGAATTTAAGCTCACAAAATCTTTAGTTATTAAAACACACTAATATCAGTATTAAAATACATATTTTTAACTTTTGAATTCCAATATTCACAATTAATTGTTTTTTTAAAATGGAATCAGATCAAGCTTTAATGCTTGTTCAATTTATTAACCTAAATGTTAGTTATCCAAATGAATAAAACATGAAAAGGATCATCAACCATTGAATCAGAAGCATCGAAAATCTAATTTAAAAAGTGAAAAAAACCGATTTGCATTCAATTACAATCAATTTTTAATTCCATTTTTGTCATTTTTTTGATCCAGAAAACAAGTTTCATAATTTTTTTTGAAGGGTTCTCAATTAATTTAAACCACTTTTTCCTTTAAAATATATCATATTGCATTAATGATTACACATTCGAATTTATTATAAATTAAATTCAAAGTGACAATTTACATTCTGATATGGCTCTGCTTTTTTCCTTTTTCTACATTTCCATCTCCGTGCCTAGTATTCCTCGTACAAATGATATCATACACAAGCTGGACTTTTCATCTAATAGCGGCACTTTCGACACAATTTCAATTAATACTCAATCGACAACTCTCCGAATAGATAATGTTCCAAATTCAACAACCATTGCTCTCATTGGACGCTCTATTGTAATATCAAAGGAAATTCAAAAGAATACAAAAATCGGCTATACAATTTTACCAAACCTCAATTTCACGATGAATATTACGGTATGTGACTCAGTAACATTATTTTTATACAATAAATTTACATCATCTATCTCATATAAAACTCAAATGAATTTTATTCTCTGAAATAATTGCGATATTCGTCTTTTACCATCATCATGGGATGGACTAGTTGTAAATATGCTAGCGTTTGCTTCAAGCTTTACAAAATTTCATGTTTATTGCAAAGTTTTTCCGATAGAAATAAAATTACCGCCAAAATCTAAGAGTGAATTTCATTTTTATACACAAGAAATATATTTCAAAAGCATTCATCTTGCAGGTGATTTTAATATAATAACAGAATTCGAAGATACAATATTAACTATAAATCGTTTAATGATAAATGAGAAAGTCACTTTTCTTTCAAAACCCCTAACGATAAAAACAAATTTATTGATAGTAAATGGAACCGGGAATCTCAAAGATTGCAATTTAACATGTAACCAGATAAGCATCATTCATGATTATTACCAAATTCACGCGAAAACAATTGAAATAATCGGTGAATCATATTTCAGAACGAAAGCATTTGATTGTCCATTTTTAGTTTGCGATCATCTGAAAATCAAAACGCCTATATCTCTTAATATTGCCAGCCAAGAAGATGTCATTAAATTTCAATTTGCAAAGGCTAAGACAGTTGATTATTTTTATGTTAAATCCAATTACAACTATAAAAAGCCGGGATATCCTTCAATTGATTATATTCATGATAAAGAAACAGGAATCGTATATATCGAAATTGTATATTATAATACATTTGTACCTAGTATTATCTTTATCTCCGAATCAAGAGCGAAACCTCCTTTCGAAGGATGCTTGCTTCTAAGACATAACAATATTTCTTTTCTCAATACACTTGGGAGGACTTCTGAAATTGTTGATGTTTATTTTAAAGATTTTGGTAACGAAACGATTGTAATTAATGCAAGTTATTCCTTCACCAGATATTTAAATATATATTGTGAAAGAAACAAAATTTGTTTTGCCGATTATGATTTCTTTGAAGAACTTAGAATTCAGAATGCAATTTTAACAGATTTTGAAGTTTTCGTAAGAAGTTTGAAATTAGAAAGTTGCCAAATATTGGACAATGTTAGAGGAAAAGTAACTGAATTAACTATCATCAATCCAATCATGTCAAACGTAACATCATTTCTAGCAGAGGAAGCGCGTTTTTACGATATTAATTTGCTTACGATTTATGAAACTACCTTCATTGTTGAAAATTCTCTTTTTGAATTTGCAAATTACAAATCTTGGAGATTAACTCTGGTTAATGGAGCAATGGTATCAAAAAAGAATAATACAGACTTTTCACGCATTAATGGAAATTATGATTTATATCTTCCTCCTGTTTATGACAGTATTACCCTATATCCAGTTCAAAAATTGATGACATCAACACAGTTTTTAAAGCTTAGAGTAATTCAATGCCAAATTATCCCTAATGATGAAAAAATATACAAAAACTTATTATCAAATAACTTAATTGTGATATTTGAAGACAAAGGATGCCTTAATTTCCATGAAGAATTGATATATGATGTAAAATCATTAATGATTGCCACAGCAAATATCTATTCATCGCAATCTGTGAAATTTAGACCACAAATTCTTAATATCTCAACAAATGCAACAAGAATAGACAATAATTTCACTTGCAATATATTAAGTATACACGATAATTGTTTGACAATGATTGACGAAATTTCTGGAGTTGAAGAAATTGATATTCATTATTCTATTTACAAAACTGGTTATTTATATACAAAGAAGTTTTATTACAATAACCAGACAACTAGAAATCTTCACATAGCATTTATTAATGATGATGAAAGGGATCAACTTTATTATAACCGAGATTGGAATAATTTTAGTATTGATGTTTTTTGTGCAGATGAATTTTATTATAATTTGTCCACAATTACAAGTAATTTTACAAGTCCTCATTGGGCATTCAATGGAATAACAAGTCAATTTAAGATGGACATTAAGAAATAATATGACATGCATTTCCATTGCATCAATAAATGATGATAATGATGATGATCATCACGATAATGATAAATCGGCAAAGTCTCATTATATGTTACTAATCATTGTAATTGGTTCATGCTCTTTGTTCTTAGTGATAGTTTACATGGTTATTTATTTCATCAAATTAAGAAAGAACTACAAAAATATAGAAAGCTTTTTAATTGAAGATGATATTTTGTTATCAGATACTTCAATTGCAAAAAATATGTGATTGAGCATATTATTCGATAATTCTGTTACTCATGTTCTCATCTTTTTTTTTTGCTATATATTATTTTATTTGTATTATATTAAATTTTGTATATGTTATTGTTGTTTTTAAGTTATTATCCATTCATTTTTAGGTGCCTTAATACGCATAAACATACTTTAAATCGATTAGTTAAAGACGATATCAATCTCATAATAAAATATTTGATGAGTTCAACAAAATCAAAACAAGAACAATATCAATATAACAAACCCATCTTATTAGATATTCATAGAATTAGGAATTCCATGAATTAACGTTTGAATCAATCAAATTTTAACCAAATTATGCTACGCAACTGTTAACGTTATGAACAAGTGCTCTGATAAAGTTCCTCAAGTTTATAAACCCCAACAATCAATATCACAATTTTTATGGATTTTTGTTCAATATCATTTTTGTTCCAATCTTCTGTTCAATATATAGAAGAAAACTAGTTCCTTATTACTGGTTTTTGATGTAAATTTTTTGACTCCTCACTTGTTGATGGAAAAAAATTGACAAAAATTTTGAGTCTTTTTATTAATTATTTCTTTTGGTTGTTGAATGGATAATAATTAATTGGTTCCGGCGGAATTTCGGTTTACTCAATTGAATTTTTTTTATTCAAAATTTATCATGGGTGTTGCAGGCTTCTACCGTTGGCTTGTTCAAAGATATCCTTTGATAAGACAAAGGGCAAACCGCCTATCTTATCCAAGAATCAATAACTTTTACATTGATTTCAACTGTATTATTTATAACAGTATTCGGCTTGTTAAACCATCATTAGATGGTGATAACACTGTATTATTCAATGAAATATGCCGTTATGTCGATCTTTTAGTTCAAACAATCAAGCCAGAGAGTCTATTGTTTATCGCTGTCGATGGCCCAGCTCCACTAGCTAAATGCGCACAGCAAAGATCTCGCCGCTTCGTCGCAGCACGCGACCACGAAGATGGAACCTTCAGTACGGCCGCTATTTCTGTTGGTACAGAGTTTATGGAAGAATTACACGAGCATCTCTTAAAGTTCATCAATTCAAGGATTGAAAACGATCCAATTTGGTCACAACCAAAAGTTATTTACAGTTCTCATCGTACACCAGGCGAAGGCGAAAATAAATTCTTTAATTACATGAGAGAACACATGTTTACAGAGGAACATGACGAATTCGCTACACATTGTATCTATTCACCCGATGCCGATCTCGTTTTCCTCGCTCTTCAAACAGGATTAAAGAATATTTATCTTATGCGTGAATGGGGAAGCTGGATGGGCCCCAACGAGGATGTAGCCAACGGAGAAATCGACAAACTCCGTGTTAGTCCTGGAGATTTCGAGCTTCTTCATCTTCCTTTACTTCGCGATTATTTCCAAAAGGAATTCCCTGAATCCGACCTACCAAGGCTCATCAATGATTTTGTTGCCATCTCATTCCTCATCGGAAACGACTTCATTCCTCATTTTCCAGAAATCGACATTCATAACGGCGATTTCGACAATATTTTGACAGCTTATCGCCTCTCATTACTCGATCGCAAGAAATACCTCATTACCGAAGAGATTACATACGACAAAGAGAACCTTCTCGCGTTCCTTAAAGCAGTTGTCGCAAATGTTAGGTCCAAAGCTCGTCCGAGCGGCAAACCAGCTAAAACAAAGCACGCCAAGTCAACAGAATTACATACAAAGGAAGGAGCCCGTTCATATCTCAAATCAAAGTATAAATCCGGATTTAATAAAGAGTTTGAAGAGGAATTATGCCATTCAGTGATCGATTCCTTCAACTGGGTCCTCAAATACTACTTCGAAGGCTGCCCAGATTACACTTGGCAGTTCCATTATTTCTATCCTCCTCCATTAGTTCTTGTTGCGGAATATGTTCTCGATTACGAACCGAACTTCGAACAAGGACGTCCACCGCTACCATTTGAGCAGCTTCTTTCCATTCTTCCTCCGAAAATGTCCTATTTACTTCCATATCCCATTGCTTCACTTATGTTTTCGCCATCACCGTTGGCCGAATACTATCCAGACAAGTTCGAAATCGACCTCAATGGCCGCAAATACGAATACGAAGGAGTTACTCTGATTCCTTTCGTTGATATGGAGAAAATAAGGACAGAAACATCAAGAGTGTTCGGAGCTCTGTCACCGAAAGAGAAAAAGAGAAACGAATTCGATGAACTCAAGATTATGAATCCAGGAAAACCACAAACGAAGCTTACAAAGGATCCACCGGGCCTTCCAACACTCAATGGAATATTCCAGTACGATTACGAGAACTCTTCAAACGAATTGGCCATATTTGGTAAACCATCCAGATATCCTTCGATGTTTATCGTTCCGGACTTCGAAGAAGTAGGCGAAAATGAAAAGTACAAAGATCTTGAAACGGCGAAACAGCTTATTGGTAAAATTGTACTTTGCAATTGGCCAACTTTGATTCCAGGCAAAGTTATGGGCTGTTTCAACAACAAAGACTGTTTCGTTGTTGATTCCCGCTCTCCTGGCAACCTCCTTACTTGCGGCGGTGCAAAGAAGATGGAAAATTTGATTTCGAATTTGAAGAGGACGAAAGGCTTAGATTGCGAGAAGTGCACTGTTGGATTGATAGTTCAGCCGTACGCTATCAAGTCAATCAACGGCTCCGTAATCAAATCTGACGAAGAATTCCTTTTCCCAGCCGAATTAATCGTAACAGACACTGTCGAAACAATGAAGAGGTACCTCACTCCAGAACCCCCTAAGCTCCCTGAAGTAGGATCAAGGGTAATCATAATAGAAGGTGCCGACCAAGGAAAAGTTGCAAAAGTGACAAGTGTCGACCAAGGTACCGGCTACATCACTGCCAAATTAATTCTTTCAACTCCATTCGATGGCAGCTTCCTCCGCAATGACAGTTATCCATTATCCATCAACGAACTTGCCACTGATTTAGAACTCAAGCCAGAAGTTGTTTCCTGCATGTTAAGTACCGTAAAAGTCCTCAATTTCCAAGGCGATGTTCGTGTTCCTGATGTCGCATTGACTCTTTCCTACAGGGACTTAGTTATGGACGGAATTGCACAGAAACAAAGAGACGGATCAATCATGTATTCCAGATCTGTTTTGAACATTTGCAAGGAGTATTTGGAGAACACAGGATTGGCCGATTTCTACTCAAAGAAAGCCAAAATCCAGACATCAGAGAAAGGACGTCCGAAACTCACGATTTTTGGAGATACATTGGCAGGAAAACCTGAGAAAGCTCCTGCAAAGATTGAAGAGATACAGAACTGGATACACAATCAATCAGAAGTCGCTGGATTGTTCTTGATCGATACTTCAATAAGCATTGTAACAAGAACTTCTTCTACAATGTTGGAAGTGAGATTGGACAAATTAAAGTTCGAAGAAACAGAAGGAAGTGAAGTGACATTAAATCCAAAGCAGTTCATTGTTAGAGGTGGATATCCAGCATCTAGAAGCAAGATAAGTATCGGTGACAGAGTTACTTCAATCGCTCCAAATGGCCCTGTTCCTTTCGGAACCCATGGAACTGTTATTGGTTTCAATTACCAGACACACGATGTTTACGTTGTTGCTGACACTCCTTTCGACTTGGGATCGACACTGAGAATGAGATTGAACTCTCAGAGAGGTTTCGTTGCTTGCCAGAATGATTTGATACTTTACTACAATTAATCAAATCATTTATTTTTCATATATTAGAAGATTTATTTTATAGTATATGTATAAATAAAAAAGATGTTGATTATATTACTTTTCTTTTATTTCTTTCAATGATGATTGTTTTCTTTTATATTCATGATGATTGTATTGTTTGTATGAATGATTGTTTTCTTTGTATGAATGATTATTTTCTCTTAATATAGTAGTGGAAATTGCATTTTCGATTTTTTATTAACGGTGCACTTACGTTCCTATGTTATGACCTTCAATTCAGATGTTTAAGGTTAATTTTCAATGACGCCTCACACCAGTTGTCAAAAATTTGAATTAAAGTCAGACGGGCGTAAGTGCGGCCTTAATGACGAGGCTTTTATATTCATGATGATTGTTTTTTCCCCTATATAATAGTTAAAATTCTTTCTTTTATAATAGAGGTGATTCTTTTCTATCTATTCGTGACGAATCCATTTATTTAGAATAATGATGAAATACTTGAAATCTTTCAATTTCAAGTCTTGTTTAATTAAATTAAATGTGATTTAATTTTTTATAATAACATAAAAAATAATTGGTCTTAAGTGGATGTTCCATAATAGTTATTTAGTATGTATAATAATTAATATCCGCACAATTTGATACTATTGAATCAATTATACTTTTGAAACCTCTTTCGACTGCAAATGAAAGAGGAGTTATACCACAGTTATCAGCCAGATTAGGTTTTGCACCATGAGAAAGTAGCAAATCAACAACTTCTTTGCAATTGTTTTCGGCTGCTTTTAAAAGAGGAGTTTTTCCATTTTTATCCGGTATATCAACAAATGCGCCATGAGAAATGAGAAAAGCAGCTATTTCTTCGCAATTATTCTCTGCTGCTATGTAAAGAGGAGATATGCCATCGTTATCTTGCAAATTTATATTTGCACTATGAGAAATAAGCAAATCCACAATGTCTTTATTCTTGCAAATAGTTGCTGTTTGAAGAGGTGTTTTTCCGAATTTATTTTGAATATTGACTTCTGCGCCTTTCAAAATTAGTATTTCTGGTATTTCCCTGCTGCTACATGAAGCTGCGATGTTAAGAGGAGTTCGACCATAAACATCTTGAATATGAATATCCGCCCCATGAGAAATAAGTAACTCTACTATTTCTTTACTATTTTTGTTAGCGGCATTATGAAGAGGAACTTCTCCATTATTGTTGGCTTCATTCAAATTCGCATTATTTAAAATTAATAGCTTTGACATATTATCATTATTTTTTTCTGTGGAAATAAGGAGAGGGGTGTTTCCATCTTTGTCTTTTATGTTGATATCTGCTTTATTAGAAATAAGAAATTTTGCAATTTTAGTATTATTATGTTTTGCTGCATAATGAAGAGCAGTTCGTCCCTTTCCATCTTGACAGTTTAAATCAGCACCTGCAGTAACAAGTGCGCTATCAATAAATTGAATTATATTCCTAGCTGAATAATGCAGGGCAGTACGCCCTTTTACATCCTGATAGTTAAGATTTGCATGAGCAGCTATAAGAATTTTGATAATATTATTTCTTTCATTCTCTTCAGAATTTAAATCTGCATGAAGACGAATTAATTTTGATAAAGATTTTTTTCCACTTTTCACAGCATAAATAAGGGGAGTGTTTCCTTCTATATCTATTGCATTGACATCTGCGCCATATGAAATAAGAAGCCTAACCATTTCAGCATTTTCTTTTTTAATAGCCATGTGTAGAATTGTTACATCATTTTTGTTTTTTGAATTAGCATCAGCATTATGAGAAAGAAGAAGTTCAACTATTTCTTTATTGTAATTTTCCACGGCATATTGAATTGCATTCATATAATTTTGATCTTTTGCATTTATATTACAATGATGAATATCTAATGTGTCTACAAACAATTTGCATATTTCAAAATTATCATATTTACTGGCATAATGAAGTATCGACATACTATTAGAATCAATCTTTGAAAAATCAAGATTTCCGTTTTTTAAAAGTTCAATTGTTTGTGGGAAAGCAGCACACCAAGGAATAATAGAATTTTTATCATTTTCATAAAGAATAAAAACTGCTTTTAAATTTTGTGATAATATAACTTGTTCTGGTTCTATTTGAAAGTTTTGAATCAAATCATGATCAAAAATATATTGAAGAAATGTATTGTTATAAGATTCAATAGCAACATTTACGCATTTACTATCAACTTGAATGTATTTTAAGCACTCATTGATTATATCTGTATTACCACCAATTATAGCATTGTAAAGACTTTGATTTGTAATTTCATAATCATAATTCAAATGAAGAAAATTGAAAATATTCACCGATCCGAAATATGCACAACTATCAAGGATTGACTCTTGCTCCAATATATAAACACCAAAAGTAAATTCTGTAACACCGTGTTGCGTAACATAATCTTTGAATTTATCAATTTGGTCATTAATGATAATGAAATTAAACTCTTCTTTTAGAGCAGAATCATCTATAAATTTTATGTCGTCAAGTTCTTTAATCATGTAAAATTCAGGATATTTTTCTTTGATTAAGAGTAGAATTTTGGAATAAATACTGATATATTTAATGTGATATTTAATAGCATTGACAACACTGCTAAGAAACACTTTATAATTTGAGTCGTACCTAATTTCTATACATTTTGTTAACAAATTAGCAATTTCTTCACTTGTATCACTTGTTGTTAAGTGGTTCAGCTTCTCATAAACTTCTATGAACTCTTCATACTGTTTTAATAAATCGTTCATTATGATTGGAAAAAAAAATCTGTGTAATTTTTTTCCATCATTCAAATTTAAATATATCAAAACAAGCAGATTACTGTATGTTGTACTCTGGCTCATGCAATTGTTTATTAGTTTTTATAACAACAAAACGTTTTTGTATTCATTTACATTATAAAAATATTACAAATGATAGGTAGCATGAGACTTTATAAGTAAATGATGCTACTTCTAGGGAAAATTGTTGTAAACAGAAATTCATCAAAAGTGACACCTCAGAAAAGCTAAAATATTGAATTTTTGGAACTTTTGATAGAGCACGTTTTTAAATATTAATTAAAGTAAATGTATATTTTGTAAAGATTCTTTTTAATAAAAAAATAAAATTTTGAAGAAGAACACAAAATCTTCTGAAAAATAATATCACATAAACTCATATTATTTTCTAATATATAACTATTTTATATAAAAATCAAATTCAATGATCTTAAAAGCGAAGGATAAACCTCAAAATTTACGAATATAATGAGTGGGAATATAATGCTTATCTATCATAAAACCATATGAAATATCAATTTTTGCTTTACGCCTAATTTTTGACGACAATTAGCAAAAAATGTTAAATGTTAACACTCAGTCCATTTGAATATGAAAAATAAAATTGACTTTGATTAAATGTTTTTATTTATCATGCAATTCTTCTTGCGACCAAAGATTTGAATAAAAGTTCAAAAAATAAGATAGCTTAAAAAATAATATACGGTAGTGTTTACTAATAGATGAATAGTATATAAATTCTATTAAAATGGATTTGATACAAAAAAATATATAAAATTTGATCATAAATAAAATCGTTTTAAATTACTTCTTCATTTAAATTATAACAATTATTTTTGGTTTTATATTTTTTTGTATCAAATCCATTTTAATAGAATTTATATACTATTCATCTATTAGTAAACACTACCGTATATTATTTTTTAAGCTATCTTATTTTTTGAACTTTTATTCAAATCTTTGGTCGCAAGAAGAATTGCATGATAAATAAAAACATTTAATCAAAGTCAATTTTATTTTTCATATTCAAATGGACTGAGTGTTAACATTTAACATTTTTTGCTAATTGTCGTCAAAAATTAGGCGTAAAGCAAAAATTGATATTTCATATGGTTTTATGATAGATAAGCATTATATTCCCACTCATTATATTCGTAAATTTTGAGGTTTATCCTTCGCTTTTAAGATCATTGAATTTGATTTTTATATAAAATAGTTATATATTAGAAAATAATATGAGTTTATGTGATATTATTTTTCAGAAGATTTTGTGTTCTTCTTCAAAATTTTATTTTTTTATTAAAAAGAATCTTTACAAAATATACATTTACTTTAATTAATATTTAAAAACGTGCTCTATCAAAAGTTCCAAAAATTCAATATTTTAGCTTTTCTGAGGTGTCACTTTTGATGAATTTCTGTTTACAACAGTTGTACTCTGGCTCATGCAATTGTTTATTAGTTTTTATAACAACAAAACGTTTTTGTATTCATTTACATTATAAAAATATTACAAATGATAGGTAGCATGAGACTTTATAAGTAAATGATGCTACTTCTAGGGAAAATTTCATTTCTTTTGATTAAAATCTATAATTAAAAACAAAATTAAAAAAATTAACAAATTTATGACATAAACAAACAAAATAAAACATATAATAAGAAAATCTAGTCTCTTATTAACAATACCTTACCACTTTCTCTGTCCAATTTGATATTAATCAGCTTGTAAAGAGAAATGTTTTTAACAGCAGCTCTGTACAACGCCATTCTTGAATCTAAGTATCCATCCTTCTTGGTATCATCGTTGCTGTACATTCCGAGGTTAGTCATCAGCAAATTTAGCTTCTTCATGTGGGGATCGGTTCTCAAAAAGTGACAAATTAAATTCATTTTTTCAATGATTGGATAAAAGTGGCTTATATGGATAGCTATCTTTCCGTAATGCTTGATGGCCTCGTTTCTCATCTCATCTGATACGAGCTTGAACTGCACGATGGATTTCAAGATTTCTGTCAATGGTTTGTGCATTGAAAAGATATCTGGAATTGGAAAGCTCTTTGACTGTATTTCATCAAACGCTTTGTCGATAACAGCATCAAATGTGTTCATTTCAATGGCAGTTGCGTCAAAAATTGCTTTGATTTCGGAACATAATTTGGAAAATAACCACAAAACACCTGCAAACATTGTAGTATGAATGAATACAATCGGGTTTGGCATTTGAATGAAGGAAAGTACTTCATTCAAGAACCAAACTAAAGATTGTATTTTATGATTTGCAGATGTGGCAATAATATGCTCAATATACATAGAAACTTCATTCTCAACGAATGGAAACTCAAATTCATTAGGCATATTCGATAAAAGAATGCTCTTGAGGAATTCATTGATTGGTCTAGTGATAAATACTGATTCTGCAGTCTTAACGACCTCGCAATGCTCACTTTGGTAGTTACTTAAGTTCTTTCGACATCTGTTGATTACGATTTTCCTTACTTTGTCGTTGGATATATGCGGATAAATGTCAGACCAAAGGTTTCCGTAGTTATCTCGACCGGCCGTACCGATTGCGTAAGATATAAACGGGTTGTTGTCTGAAAAAGCAAACACACGCTCTGTCTTGTTCTCAACAACTTCGATTGATTCTAAAATTTGAAAGAAATCTGTAAATTGAACAGGAATGATTTTATCAGGCGGCGGTTTGTATCGTCCTTGGATATCTACGCTTACAGGAAACATTTTTGTGAGATGATTGAGAATAATAGGATTTTCGTTCGCGTTTATATTGATTTTGAACGGTACATAACTCGGAGAAAAATGTTTCATCTGATAAATGTTAAGTTTCGGCTTTGGAGTATAAGGTTTCGATGCCTTTACAACAGGTATCATACTGTCATCTTTTTTAAGAAGATCAAATGGATTTTCTGGCTCATCAATTTGAATTAATTCGGCAAACGAGAGTTTATCGATTGAACTTGTGTCAGAATTGAATTTATGAGTTCTAAGAAGCTTAATGATTCCTTTTGTAAGTGATAGAATTTTGGATAAATCTGTAGCTTTTATATTTATTGACTGATTCTGAACAATTGCAGAAAATATGTGAACAAATGAAAACCTTGGCTTGATAGAAAGCATAATATATGAAAAGTGATTGATAATTACGTCTTCTGGTATATTATTACTAAGAAAAACGTTAATTAACGCTTTTGTTTGTGAATACAAGTCATCAACTACAGATGACTCTTTATTGATAATGATTTGCCATATTTTTCTTAAAACCTCGGTTTTATCAACTATTTGATTAACTTTCATTGTTAAGATCTGTGCTGGAGTGGAATGAATGATTAGTTTTGAGAAAATACCATTTAATTTTTCTATTTCATTCTTTGTCAATAAAATTTTGGATAAAATACAAAATGCTAATATATCACTTAATTTTGAAGGATATGATGCTTGTTCTTTTGGTGGAGTCGGTGGTGGTTTGGAAACTGGCTCAGCTGGTGGGGGTGGAGCAAATTTGCGAATTACAGTTACAGACACTTGTTGTGAAGGTGGTTTAATAGATTCAATTGGTTGAGCTACAATTCGCCGAACAACAGTGATAGTTTTTGGCTTTTCTTGTGGCTTCGCACCCGGATTTAGAAAAAAAGGTACACTCATTTGAAAAAATTCTGAAGCGCAAATGACACTTTTCATCAGAATTTTTTATATATCGCTTTCAATTTCGATTTTGTTAGATAAAGATACAGTATTCTCAAGGGAATAGCTACAAATAGCAAACACAGTAAGCGGACAATGATTGATATATATTCTAACCATTTTTGTCATGATTTTATTTTCAAAATATTGGTTAAGTTATTAATTCCAGCGCCTGATGCAGAATATTATAATTCGGAGTTATTGTACGTATCTCAAGCTTACTATTTCAATTGTATAATTGCTATTGAGGTGATTCAACCATTGATGCTTGTAATAATGGTAAATTTTAAAGATATGTTTAAAACGAGCCAAACTAATCCAATTAAAGGTCGATTTTTATCAAAAACTATCCCCACTAGTACTTAATTCAGAGCAAAAGGATTATTATATTTATTAGAGTCAAGGGCAAGATACTCATATTTACATATCAACTCATATTTGAATATAAAGCTATTATAGAACACCAAGAGAAGTTATTTCCAAAATGTAATGAATCATCATCACTATACAATGACAATTGAATTTTAAATAGAACTGCTGTTGCTTCACATCGTATAATATTTTATTTAAACGGAATTCATTTTTCTAATTATTTGTAAAAATATGGTAAAAAAGGGGGTTGGCGTCCTAAGGCGTCCTAGTGTAAATTTCTCAAAATTGTGATATTTACATCACATTTTTGAGAGGTTTATGGGCGTCCTAAGGGAAAATTGAATAGCTAGGGCGTCCCGAATTTTCATTCTAAGATTTAAATATATTATATACTTAAGTATAATACAAGCAATATAAAAATTAAATTTTTATTATGTTAACTTATAAGAAATTTTTTTGAATTATCGTTGATTTATTGTAATCTTTCCAGGCTATACTTTTGAAATCAACTTTACCTGTCATACGCATTAATGTAGTAGATGTCCAGGTGTAGCTATTATATCCCAGCAACATTGGTATTTTATCATTGTAAGATATCAAAATGAAGCGTTTTTTTCAGATATAATTTTTCGTAAATTTTTCAAAAATAAGATGGTAAAAAAGCCTCGACTTGCTCGAAAAATAACAATTTTTTACTTGTAAAAATAACCCTTTTACAGCATGGGCAGCTATTCAATCACTATTTCTTTTTCTAAAAGTATATTTTTCAAAAAAAATTAAGATCAAATTCGACAATTTCTTGATGAAAGCAAAAATATTACACATACTTCTAGATGCATGGGATAAAATATGCAATTATTCAATCAATTCGCATGATTTGAAAAAAAAATCTAAATTTGATAAAAATGTAGAAATTTTTTATTTTTAACTTGAGATTCGATTTTTTTGATCCAATTTGTGAATTTTTTTTGATCGGAATTTCAATTAATTTGTTGATCAAAAATGACCTCACAATGTTTGATCATAAGTGAAGTCATCTTCATGGGTATTTAGAAATTCCAAGAGAAATTGCTTATTTCTCGCAGATGTAATATCTGAGAAAATCGAATTTAAATATTCATAGAAACCCAAATCATTCTCCGGTTCGAATAATTCATCTGTTGCTTTTTCTGTTTTTTCTATGAATTTTAATAATTTGATTAATAAATCTTCATCAGGAAGAATTATTGCTGCATTTGTGATAAAATTCCATATTGAGGTAATATGGCAATAATTACATTTATAAAATGTAATTTTATCCAAATTTTTTGGCAAATTCGCATAATAGCATTAATATTTGAAGCTGAGATTAAACCTGTGATTACTTCTGTAACTTTTGGAAAATCATCGCAATTTAATATCTCTTTATATTGAATTGAGAAATAAAAAAAATCAAATGGATTCATTTCTTCAATTTCAAGGAGATTGTAAAAATTGATAGAAGTGTTATTGCAACAAATTGTATTTGCAGCAAAAAATATCATTTGCTCGATTCCATTTTTGGAATAAATTTGCTGGAACAATGTTAAATTAAAACAGTTGCTTAATTTTTCTTCATTGTTTTCATAAAAAAGTAACAAGTTTGCAACTGAAATTTCAAAATTTTGATAATTGCCAGTTATTTCAGTAAATATATATATTTGCTTTTCTTCATCTAAAAATGGCAAATATTGATTTGCAATATTAACTAAAGTTTGGGATAAATTGTTCCAGTTTGATTTTACAATTTGTGAGCACATTATGTAATATGTAAATTTATCCGCTTTGTAGGAATTTAAAATTGTTTGTTGTTCTGTTTCAGTTAAATTACTGAATTTTTCAAGATTAATATTGTGATAAAAAATAGAATCCTTGAAACATTCTGATATCTTTTCAATGTTTAAAACGGATGCTAAAAAATGTAAAAGAACTTCATCAGTCACTGTGATTTTTTTGAAAAATTTATCCCAATTCAAGCATCCAATTGATCTTTCTGTCATTGTACTTATGCATTGATAAAGTTGATTTAATGAATCCGAAGAATAATCATTATGCTTGACTAGTTGAGTTAGTTGATACAGACTGTCGTCAGCCATTTTAAAAAAATGAATAAAATTGTATAGTAAATTATATTTGTGAAATTTGTGACGCTACATTCAATCTAAGACCAATATCTCAAAGAATTCCTCATTTAAGTATTACTTTTCATTGTTTTTTAAAAAATATCTTTGCTTATTTGTTCACTTTTTTGACATTTATTATATGCTTTTTATCATATTTCCGATGATATGAATATATATTCTATATAAGAATGACGCTACATTCAATCTAAGACCAATATCTCAAAGAATTACTTGTTTAAGTATTACTTTTCATTGTTTTTTAAAAAATATCTTTGCTTATTTGTTCACTTTTTTGACATTTATTATATGCTTTTTATCATATTTCCGATGATATGAATATATATTCTATATAAGAATGACGCTACATTCAATCTAAGACCAATATCTCAAAGAATTACTCATTTAAGTATTACTTTTCATTTTTGATTCAATTTTCGAACGGTTTTCGTAAATTTTGCATCATTTCATTTTTTAATGGGAAAATCATCTATATTTAATCAAAAAAGAGCAAACTTTACAGACGAAAATAAAATATTTATCAGGGAACAATCTGATAAATACCAAAAATCAACATCGAGAGATGAAAAAACGAATATAATCAAACAAGTTCTTCAATATTTTAATATTAAATACGCCGAAAATGAATCTAAAGCTGTCAGAAGATATTTTAGTTATATTGCAGTTAAAAATATTCCCGCAGTTACTGGAAAATATCCTGATACAATTGTTCGCAAAGATATGCTTTATTCGCATGATCATACAAATATTATTAATTCAAATAATATTGAACGTTACTACCGTTGCATCGATCATTCTTGTCAAGCACGTTATTTAGTTAAAATTGAGAACAGTTCAGTTTCCGAAGATTTACAAAAGGAACATATACCCGAATGCAGACAATTTAAAAAGTTACAAAATGAAAAAAATGATCTTCATAAATCAATGACTCTGACAGAAATATACAATAAGGCAATGGCAAAATTTTCTGAAGACAACGGCACTTTTCAGCAGATTAAAAAATTTATGACAGAACTTGCTGTTGGTACTGATGAAAACCCATTAATTAAAGATTCATTGGTCAGGGAAGTTTATAATAAGTCCAGAAAATTTTCTGTTGGAGAAAAAATTACAGACGATGAAATTGCTAATTTTTGTTTAATAAATGGCGAGCAGTTTTTCATTGGCCATGATTTTCAAGCAAATTGTGAGACGATGTTTTTTGGTTTTGAGAAGGCAATTCAATTTGCAAAAGAAGCCACAGATTTATTTTGCGATGGAACTTTTAAAATTACACCAAAACATTTTCAAAAAGGACAGATGCTAACAATTATGATTTGTGAACCTTCAACAAATCAATATCTACCACTTTTATTTATATTCATGAAAAACCGCACATTTGAATCTTATAAGAAGGCATTTGAATATATTTTTACTGTCAAGGGTATTCAATTTTCAAAGCTAATTCAAATTCATTGTGATTTTGAAAAGGGAATGATAGAGGCACTTCAACAAATTTTCCCTAAAGTCCGTATAATTGGATGCCTATTTCATTTCAAACAAGCTTTACACAGGAAACTTGTAGCACTTTATACAAAAAATTTCAATACTTTACAAAATTCTTTATTTAAGCTATATTCTATTACTCCATTCATGTCTCATGAAGAATTTGTACTTACAATGCATATAATTAATCAAAATAAAGTTGATTCGATCAAAGATTATATTGATTATTTCAACAAAGTTTGGTTGCCGCACTACAATTTAATATCTCAATATAATAATGCAACTGCAATATTCACTAATGATTGCCTCGAGAGTATGCATTCAGAATTTTCTTCGTTAAAACATCCAAACATTTATGAAGCTATTAAGAAGATATCTCAAATCCAATTAGATAAATATAACGCCATCAAAAATAACCAGAAGATCGAGCGCCATATAAAAACCGTTATCACTGATAGCTACAAAAATTATATTCTTGACTGCTTTCAAAAAGAACTTGAGAAAACAATTTTTTCTATCAAACAATACAACGTAAGTGATCTTTCTTTGACTCAGAACGAGATTTCTCCATATGGTTCCATAGAATCGAGTTCATTGTTCGAAAATATTCCAGTTCATGATGCAGATATACTCAAATCGATCGATCTAACAGATAAAGATACAATGATCACTAAGTTTATTAATGAAAAAAGAGAAAAAATTATGGCATTATTTAATGAAACTGTTGTAAACGAAAACGATAAAAACGGTTTGACAAAAAGTGATACTTTACATGGCAAAAAATAGAGCCTTACTTTTGAGATACTTGAGATTGAAACTGAATCTTATGAAGCGGTGATCTTGAATCACTACATCATAAGGTTCAGTTTCATATAAAATTTGTTATTCTTTTGGAATTATTTCTTATAAGATTAGTTAGTATGGTTATGTTGGGTATGGTGGCAC